GGACCAGTTGATTGAGAATCAAAGAGAAAATACTCGACCTACTATAAGTTTGATAATTTCGACTTGTGGAAACTCACATGGATGAGATTGTTGCCAAATGTGATAAGATCAACACAGTAGCAGGTCACCTTGATTAGATACCCGTCCATGAATTAATGTGGAGGGTTGAGACCTTAGAAGACAAATCCACATGAGTTGGTAGGTTTGAGCGTGGAGATAGCTTAACGGGCTCTATTGCTGAGATGGAGGAGCGTATTGAATGTTTAGACAACTCCCAGAAGGTAGTCGTACAAATGGTCGATGTAAAACCTGCCCTTGATATGGTTAGAGATAAAGTGGTAGATTTGAGTATCCGACTAAACCTCGTCATGAGAGCGGTAGGGAACCAAATCTCAACAATGGGGTGCAGTCTAGTTTAACAAGGTAAAGATCCCATAGCATAAACTCTTCTATTGGGTTCGAGATGCCTAGGCTATAGAGAGCTTTTATCTTTAACCTTGAACAATATTTTCGAGCTACAAATATCATGGCAAAAGAAGCGAAAGTCACGCTAGAAACAATGCATTTAACTGACGATGTGAAGCTGTGGTGGAGATCTTAATACATGGACATTCAGGACGGTTGATGCATCGTAGATACTTAGGAGAGATTAAAGCAAGAACTCCATTCATGGTTCTGTCCAAAGAATGTTAAGATATTGAATATATGTCTGAAAACGAGATCTTTTGTTTTGTCAAAGGGCTACAGTTACCAGCAAAGTCCAAACTATATGAATAACGAGTTCAAGACGTTTATACTGTCTTTGTTGCAGCATAACAGTTGTTCAAATTTAGTAACGAACCACCACAAAATGTGAGGAGTCGAACTTCTTCAAGTCTTCCAAGTAAGATTTGAAACAAATTTATAAGCTAAAGATGAGACGGTAAGAGTTGAAACGCTGCACTTGAAAAGCATTGAAAACCCCAACATCGGAGCCCTAAAGTTTTGCTACATTACATACATCGAGGCCTGGATTAATCATAGATTGATTAAAAGCATTATGGTCGACTATGAACCACCCACAACTTTATGACAAAGACATAAGTGAAATGCTTGAGCATACTCGGGAATTGAGATACAAAGAAGATGAAAGTCGTCAATTCAACCGTCATACCTATATGGGAAATTGCAAAGAAAACTTCGACTAAGTTGGAAACTTGGGGTGAATATACCAATATCATGATCATCGAGATAGATGAGTTTGACATTGTGTTAAGGATGGATTTCTGTTTCGAACAAAACGTCATTCACATACCCCTAGCAAAATACTTCGTACGTACGAGATTCAACTCCACCATTATTCAGACAATACCCAACAGACAAAAGGGATGAAGATGATGTCACCAATTCAATTGAAATGGGGTCTCGCCCCGGGCAAACTCACTCTCATCTCTCTTTTCGTAATTGAAGATGAAAACATGAGTGAACTAATAACAATAGAGATCTAGCAATTGCTAGAAAATACTGCAACGTGAAGCTGAAAAGCTTGATTAGGAGATGCGACTAGTTGTCAATTATTCATACCCGGATTATATGTTATTAATATCGTTGTTGTTCCTTATTACTTGTTAGCTTATAACATTGACGTTTCCCAAAACCTTCTCCGACCCATTTTTTAAAACTAGTTTTTAAGAGCGGGGCCAGATGCTTGAGTATAGGACGTTTGTGCCAACAATGACCCAAATTTTAGTTGGTTGACTTACTCAAGAGCGAGAGTGAATGTTGTACACAATTACATCGTGGGTTTTGGAGGAGCATTGTCACTACCTAAATTTTGAGCTACTCAAAGCACGAATTGTGACATAGATTGACTCGACAGGAATAAAAACTCAACTCGAGATTTTAAAACTGAAAACCATACATACACATATATATTCACAATATACAAAATACATTTTAACTTTAATACATCGAGGGAATATTACACAAAAATAAGACCAAGACAAAAGACACAAACTCGGTGATGACTCTTGAACCTAGGTTGTCTCTTTATGGTCAAGACAAAAGACACAAACTCGGTGACGACTCTCGAACCTAGGTTGTCTCTCTATGGTCACATGCTCCAAATCGTTTTTGTCCTCGACCAGCCTCTAGTTTTTACCTGAAAAACAATAAAAACTAAAGTGAATATAAAATAGTTAGTAAGAAGCCTACTTGTAGGCTCTGATTATGTATATGGATGATGCTAAGTTACCACACTCTATACCTAACATAAGACATAAAACATAGGGTTCTATTATGAGGACCTAGGTCTTGACATTCTAAGTTCTCGATTCTGAGTTCTAAGAACATGATAAATCTTTTGCCTACCCTTGGTTTATGCACTCGTATGGTCCCTTGCCTAGTACGGGTTTAAAGAGAGTGGATCCCAATGGGTTGTCTACTTCCTTTTCCACAAACAATAAAACGAGTCTTGATTCTAAACCTATGCCTAAAATTCAAATTAGGATTTTGAATTCGGATTCGACTCATAGTGACTCTGACATTCTCCTACGCCCCCCACGAAATTTGAACAGTGTATGATGTATCACGTAAATGGGAATCCTAAGATGACTTAGGACAAAAGGAAAGTTTAGGTAGAGTGGTACCGAGTCAACTGGAAGTCGTATTAGGCTTACGGTCATGATTGTACAGTTTCTAAGATCCAACCTACTTGGCTTGATTACAGTCTTAGAGTGCAGAAGTATTTAGGTTTATAGTTATGACTCCAAGAGTATATAATAAAAAAGCTAGGTTATACCTAAGTAAACGACGTCTTAAAATCATGCATATTTCATTTAGAACATCATAATTAGATGTCGAATATTAAATCAAGCCAATCGGAGTTCATTAAAGCTACAAAACATCATAACGGGCGTAGCAGGGACATTTTTGTCATTCGTACCTTTATTGTTAGTTTATGTCCTAATCATGTTCCTACGACCTTCGAGCTCAGCATGCACCATTAATTCATATTATTAAGTCACACTTTAAAATTTCATGCACAACGGATATCATTTAGTGGGTTAACTTCCGTTTAAGGCATTTTCCAAGTGATCCTTACAAGTATATCTTAAGAAAAGTCTGAGATGACTGCTTACTTGCTTGGTCGTATTTGGTAGGTTCTTTATTGAGTTCGTTTGCTAGAATGGTTAGAATTTCTATAAGAATTAGTCAATAAGGGCATTATTTGGCTTAAAACTAAGAGTGAGCCAAAAAAAATAAGGTGTGGTTAGTTCAAAGACGTGCATGGTCCAAACTTCAAGCCTCACCATCCATAAAGGTGTTGGACGACTTCTTCTGTTCCAAGCGTTTCACAGCTCTCGACTCCTTCTACAACCTTGTGGGTAATGTTATTTTGAACATGTAGGAATAAGTTTTAGGGAAATTGGTCGAGCGTAGCTCCCAAATTTGCCTAAAAATAATGAGTTAAAAAGCCAGAAACTTCCTGCCTCATTCTCGAGATTCAGTGGTTCTTTACTCGAATTAAGCACATGGAACGGAAGTTTTTTACTCTCTCTTTAAAAGCTCTCGCTCCACCACCTTAGACTTATCCAATAGGTCCTCGAATCTTCATCTCAAACTCGAGGTTAGAAACACGATCTTTCCCAACTCCAGTCACACCAACTTAGGTCACTCCAATCAATCTTAGCCATTGGATGAGAGTGTGATAATCTCATATAGGCCAAGGTACAATTTGGGACGACATGGGTCGTTGGATCTCCAAAATTTTGGGAAGAAAAATTTAAGAGGCAAATCTGCATGAAATCAAAGGTTTTCAGGGCTACTTTTCCAATATTTTGATTTTTAGGGATATTTCTGCAGTTTTGACTTCAAGACTATTTTTCCAATCCGTCTTTAGGGCTACTTTGTCCAAATTCCTACTTCCAAAGACATTTTTTTTTCATATATAAAATTTTCCTTCTTATTTTAGAGATTCCTTTCAATAATTAATTAAAAAAAATCCAATAATTTTATTGAAAATGGTAAAAATTACATTTTTACCTTATTTGATCTTAATTTCTCATGGTCGTTACAAGCACGGTAAATCTTAATCTAATTAGAAGAAAGAAACGTAAAAGTCGTGGATGTAATGGAGGATTATACGAGAACGCCATAGATGATAAATATTTTTGAAATAGGTCATTAAAGTGGAATTTCCGAAAACCTTGAACCCGAAATCGGGAATCTAGCCGAGAAGGTGAAGATCATAAAATTGAGAAGAAACCTTCAACTCTGTAATTCCAAAAGCAAAGTGATGAAAAACATAATAGTAAATAAGGTCGTAAATATAAAAAAAATATCTCATCCTCTGCCCGGATCCAGAAAACGAATCACAATTTTTCCTCTATCGAGTTTGTTTAGGTATGCTTCATTTTGGGATCATTTTCACGAGAAAGACGAACACTACATTTGTAACTTGAGCGGAGATTATGAAGCATCATCCCTAATGAAAAACACGAAAATTTGGTAGAATCATGGGTCTGATACCACTTGTCACAATCACACTCTTGATGGCAGCGGACTTACGATTGTGCGACACTCACTTTCCAACGACAAGTGAGCTAAGCCATTTGTTCTTGCATCGCCTACGGCCAAGCAACGTATGCTCGAGCCTCTGGTCTCGATTTAAGAGAAGGTTTGAGAAAACAAAAGCAGAGAGAGATTTTTGAAAGATACGTTATATAAGCAAGCAAGAGAGTAATAACAATGGCTCATAGTATATAACCTTAGGGAGGGGAATCATACCAATAGGCTAAATAAAAAAATTTAGATATTTAATATCTAAACCGAACCCAAATTAAAATATTTTAATATAATTTATCTAATTTAAATCATTTTTAAATTCTAAATTCGATTAAAATATTATAATATATATATATATATATATATATATATATATATATATAAAACATATTAAAATGTTAGGAATAAAAAGAAAAAGAAAAAAAGAAAAAAAGAAAAAAGAAAAAAGAAAAAAAAACGAAAAAAAAGCCCTAAATGGATGGCGGCAATTTGGGATCCAATTTCCAGGAAACTGTTCATGCTCGAAGGCAGCGATCGGTTGAGAAGTCGAGAAGAGGGCGTCTCAGTTCCATACTGAAATGCTTCCATATCAACATAGTGGCCTTGAATCCAGTTCTTCCATGAACAATCATAGACGCAGTTAATCGCCCAACCATATTCCAGTGAATGGGCTGGAGGAGAGCTGCTTCAGTTTTCCTGAGCTGCGTATCTATAGCTTCTAAACCTCCTATCAAAATCCCTTCTACTTCTTCGACAACTCCCCATTTTTTGCATTCTTCAAATCCGGTGTTTGGTTTTCAATGCTCCAGGTTATTTTCTGCTGTTGCATCTCCGTTTTCGATCACTGGCAGTCAGTTTGAATCCGAGTTTGAACAATCCTATGATTTCGAGGTGGAAGATGGAGACGAAATTGGGAAAATTCCCATCAAAGCTTACTTTCTTTGCACCAGGTTTGCCATCCAATGAGCTATGGATTAATCTAGCACTCGTTGATTGTCTTGGTGACTCTACTTCTCGTGTCTATTTTTTTCTCCATGTCTTAATTTATCGGCAATTTGATGTTGGAGTTATTTTATTTTTCTGGTCATCCGTGATTTGTCTTTCTTAGATTCTTGCTTTTGTCAGTATAAATTTGAAGAGCATGCAGTCTCAGAGTTTAAGCAACGTTGTTCCTCCTACCTCCAATTTTTGTTCCTGGTTTGTCTTTCTCAGATTCTTGTTTTTGGCAGTATAAATTTGAAGAACATGCAGTCTGAGAATTTAAGCAACATTATCCCTCCTACCTCCCGCTCGTCAAATTATATCGCTCTCAGATACATTGATTTCCCTCCAGAAACTTCCGTAAGCAGTTGAAACATATGTATATATTCTTTGTACATTCATTATGCTTGAGGAATGCCTATGGTTAATGATCTTTTTTTTTTTCTTCATATATATAGTTTAAATTTTTACCAAAAAAAAGAATCACTGTTTTGTACAAACTCCCATACGGAGTGAAAAGAACAAACACCCAGCTAAACTAAAAACACAAGCCAAAAAAACCAAAATCTTGTTAATGGTGAATTCCTCTGTGAAATGATGGTAAAAATCTCAACGTACAAGGATAGCCGAAGTCAACCATATCGTATTCCCGTACAAGATTTTTTTTTGTTTGATTGCGTGTGTGGAACCTTTTTTGTTTATTACAAAATTGATTGTGTTACTTAGTATGTATTTGTTAATAGCAAAGAGAAGCTTATGTTTACTCTGGTCAAAGCATAAAAATCTCTGGAATCATCCCAGACCCTTCCCAGCTAACATAAATAAAGAAATCGCATACAAAAGTCATGCATACATCACATTATGTCTCACAATGCTTTATGCCACATAAAACTAGTTCTTTTTCCTATTAGGAATTCATTGATATGTGTGCCATCACTTGCACTAATATAATTTTGTACAATAATAAAACTGTTAGATTTTGGTAAGTAGCCAGGAATAGTGGAAGCCATTGTATATTGTATAATACTTCAGTTTTTTGTAACCTGAAACTGATGTTTCAGGATGTTCGAGTTAAAGGGAACTCAAGTTGCTGCAGATACATGGTTGTATTCCAATATGGCTCTGCTGTTCTGTTTAACATCGAAGATCATGAAGTTGAAGGTTATCTAGATTTGGTCAGAAGACATGCTTCTGGCTTGCTTCCAGATATAAAGAAAGATGGTAATTTTTTCTGAATATCCAAATTTGTTTTGTTCTTTTTCTCTGTGACCTTGCAAATGATGTTCCTATGCACAATTGCTAAGGACCATCTTTCTCCCTGCCTACTCATTTTTTTTTTCCATGTTATGAATGGGATAGAGGTAGATCATAGATAAACATGGCTGTGTGTGTTGGTGCATAATTATTGCTTATTTCTCTTTAGGGTTTCGCATCACCCTGCTTTGATAATTATTTATTTAATCTTGTAGACTACTTATAAACATGTTTATTAGAAATGCGAATTCATTAGTTACTTGGATGCACATTGTCCACAAACTCTATATGATTAAAATCGCTGTTAGTTAACTCGAATTCTAGTTTTTAGCTTTATGGTACATGCTTCATCATTTACTACATTTATGTGCTTCAGAGAGTGATGTCTAAAACCTTGTTCATGTGCTTGGATATTTTTTTAACACGTTTTTTTGACAGATATGTTTTTGAGTTTATCTAATTTCTTTGTACCAACTTTGTGATAGATTATGCTGTGAAAGAGAAGCCATATCTAGTCGAGGATATGCAAGGAGGTCCTGATTACATTGTTCTTAAGAGTTTAGACACTGATGGTGTTCGCATTATTGGAAGTGTGCTTGGTCAAAGCATTGCTTTGGACTACTTTGTATCACAGGTAATTTTGCATCATACATATTCAATGCATACACACCAACATGGAACTTCCTGGGGAAGTTTCAGGGAGAAGAGGTTCTCATTATCACAAATCTAGAGCAAGTAGAAGAAAATGTAGGAATTGACACAGCTTGATCTCTCTCAAGAGCTAACTGCTCTTCTGTACTTTGAACGTCCTTACTTCTAACGTTGACATTTTTTACTCTCCTGTCCTCCCATGGCTACTACAGCCTTCGTTTGTGCTTCAATCATTACCAATATATCACATTGTTCTAGTTCACTCCTGTCCAACCCAGTAGACCCATGTATATTATTTCTGGTCCTCTTCTGAGAACATGATTGGTAACTTATCACTATTTCCTGCAACTTTTTCCTGTCATAATTGACATTCTTTGTAGCTAATTCGGAAGGATGGAGGTTATGAGTCTTGTGAAATTTTTTCTTTTCTCATCTTCACCTATTAGCCCTCAAACCCCAAAGTGTTTGACTGAAATTCAGCCCACCCTCTAGGCCAAGAAGCTACAAGATGGTTCAGTCTTGTTCATACAATTTCCAAATCTCTAAATCTCTGAGTTTGGCCTTTTAATCTTAAGCACCAATTTTTAGTGCTTGTATATGTGTTCTCAAAACATGGGCTTTTGGACAGTCGTACATGTAACATTATCCCTTTCCTTTTTCAGGTTGATAGTTTGGTTGAAGAGTTTGCCGATATAAATCGTAAAATGGAGAAAACAGGAACATTCACTATGGATAAGAAAAAGCTCCTTCAACTTGTTGGAAAGGCTAATTCAAATCTAGCAGATGTAATTCTCAAAGTTGGTCTTTTTGAAAGGTAACGCCATTATAGTTGATATTAGTTTTGGGTCAATTTGTTGTACATTTGTTTAAATATTTGCCTATACGTATTTCCTGCATTTACTAATTTTTATATTTCAGTTGATAGTAGTGCTTTATTTGTGCAATGGTAGTTGTTGGATTACGGAATGACAACAATAGAATGTTTCTTTACATAGATTCCTTACCTGTGACACGCTCCCAATTTTTATGTTTCCTAATTAAAAAAAAAAAAAAAAAACAAAAGAATATATGCTCCCAGTTTTTCTTTTTTTGTGAAATGTAATAAATAATAATTTTTTTTTGGATATGAAATAATTTTTTTGATGATATAAAATGTTACAAAAAGTAGAAAACCCATCCAATGAAGTTGCAAAACATTTCTCTGGTTTGGTAGGATACAATTTAAAATATAATTGCAAAAGGGTGGAAATGAGTTTAAACCATTGTGGCTACCTACCTAGGATTTAATATTCTATAAGTTACCGTAGCAACCAAATGTTGTAGGATTAAATGGTCATACCATGAGAATAATTGAGGTGCATGCAAGATGGTGATATGAACCAAAACTAAACCACAATGTACTGCAATATAAAACATAAGAGAACTACAGGATAACAAAAGTAATTGGAGGCATTTGGACCCTCCCTATCTTGAGTTCACTCAAGTTCTTAACCAATTAAAAAATTGCCTAACTCTAGTCTAAGACCCACCAAACGTTTGAAGTGTGGCCTTGCAAAAAGTATAGAGCCAAGCTAGAATGACGCATGATGAGTGTGCTAGGTAACGTCATCAGTGATGATTGGCGAATGGTGGTGATAACAGAGGTAGTAGGATCTGTAGAAATTACAAGAATTGTGCGGCACCAAAGAAACAATGCTGCGGGGAGGACACGACAAACAGTGGTGGACAAGGACAACTGTGATGTTCGATGATGGACAGTGGGTGACGATCCTCGGCTGTAGGCGTCTCTCAGTGCTGGACGAGAGTATTGGTGATGTAGGTGAGAAACATATAGGAGTTGCTTGTGGCATCTAGGGTTGCTATGTGGGTAGAATCATGCCTAGCCAGGTTGTGTTTTAGGTTTGAAATATAGAAAAACACAACCCAAAATCCGTATGGTATAACTGTCTTTGTTAGCAAAAAGGCATGTGCAAGTTTATTCACCGTTTTTTCCTTTGAAAGCAAATGGGCCCCAACTACTTCATTTACACCGTTTAAAGATGATGGGCCCACGTGGTTTGATTGGTTTCATTTTCACACCCATTCTGCCCATTGTCATCTGACTGGCACCCTCTATCATTCGCTGCCTCTACTTGATTCTTGCACCGGCGTCTCTGTGATGTCCCATATTGGTTGGGGAGGAGAACAAAACACCCTTTATAAGGGTATGGAAACCTTCTCCTAGCAGACGCGTTTTAAAGCCTTGAGTGGAAGCCCAAAAGGGAAAGCCCAAAGAGGACAATATCTGCTAGCGGTGGATTTGGGCCGTTACAAATGGTATCAGAGCTAGACACTGGACTATGTGCCAGTGAGGAGGCTGTTCCCCAAAGGGGGTAGACACGAGACGGTGTGCCAGTAAGGACGCTGGGTCCTAAAGGGGGATGGATTTGGCAGGGGTCCCACATCAATTGGAGAAAAGAAAGAGTGCCAGCGAGGACGTGGGCTCCGAAGGAGGGTGAATTGTGCTGTCCCACATTGGTTGGGGAGGAGAACAAAACACCCTTTATAAGGGTATGAAAACCTTCCCCTAGCAGACGCGTTTTAAAGCCTTGAGGGGAAGCCCGAAAGGGAAAGCCCAAAGAGGACGATATTTGCTAGCGGTGGATATGGGCCGTTACAGTCTCCTTCACGTTTTTAACTCTATCCATAGGAGCTGTCGATGATGATCGTTTGTTGAACATGCTTTTCCTACAATTTCTCCTTGTCGGCGAGTCTCCCTTTGACGTACCACCTCCTTCATCTTGGACTGCTTTTGAGTCCCTTTGTGTGAGGTTTTCAAATACTGATGCATTATCGATCAGCCTCCCCAATCCTTTGTTGGCGTTTTCCAGCAACCGTGTTTTCTGGTTTGTCCTATTTCTTATCTCCTTTGCTTCTTGAATCAATTCTTGATCATTTTCTTACTTTTTTTTCTTCACCGATCTCTCCTCTTTGTCTTCATTCCTCCTTTAAGGATTTTGATGATTTTTTGTTCTTTTTGACCGTCGCATTCGGTTGATTAGTAACCTTCTTCGTATCCTTGATTTCTTACCATATATATGAGATGCCTGATGCTGCTATGATTTTCTGCCTCTTTGTCTTGGCCCATCTATTCTCTCTTTTGATTTTTGTAGTCTCCTTTCTAATTTCATTGAAACCCAGTGCCATAGTCAGTATAGAATGAAGTCTCGAGTGCATTTTCTCATCGAATTTATTCTTCAATTGGTCCATTCCTTTGTATAAAACCTTCGATGTTGCTTCACTTAATTTTGAGCCAAACTGCTCTGACACCAATTGATATGAACCAAAATAGAACCACAATGTATCGCAATATAAAAGATAAGAGAACTATTAGATAATCAAGTAATTTGAGGTACTAGGACCCTCCCTATCTTGGGAATTCTCAAGCCTTCAACCTACTAAACAATTGCCCAACTTCTTTCTTTTCCACTCCCACTATTTATAACCAAATACCCTAACTTCATACTCTTTACTGATATACCCTTAATAGCATTCCTATTAGCCGGATTGGACACCTGTAGATACATAAAAAAAAAAAAAAAAAAAAAAAA